GCAGAAGCAGTCTTACTTTGGAACACAGTCATCTTGGAAGTCAAAGAGGAAATTGAAGGATTAAAGACTATTTCTGTGGTAACACGTTTGTTACCTGGCCCCATTCACCTGCTGAGTGAAGGCTGTAGTGACTTTGTTTAATCTGTATTTTTAACAAGTGAAATTAACAYGTGTGGATGCTTGAAGATTGAACTGAATTTAATCTCTAACTCAGCAACTTTTCTTGAGGGGAGAACAAGCCTGTTCTACTAGCATAAATTCTCCCTGTAATATGGAAGATCTCTCAAAATTGAAGGACATCTTGGGAAAGGAGTTACATGTTAATTTGAAGGTCTGCTTGACTCATTCCTTCCTTCTTCCTCATGTTCCATGGCTCAAAGCTGCCTCTAATGTCTCATCATCTACCTTGTTTTCCGACTCTCTCTAATGCAGAGTTTCTTATAAATGGCAGGATGGCACCTCCCTCATTCAAGATCAGGCAGTGTCCCATGGCAACTGCACCAGTTGTTGACCTGGAAAAATAACACTATGGAAATTTAGTGAAATGTTTTTGCTAAAGCCAAGCAGTGGGAATGGAGGAAAGCCAGCAGCAGAGCCCTGTGCTGTAGGTTGCCCGTGTGTGTAGCAGCTGCTCTGTAGGCAGTGTGGCAGGGGGGAGGTAAATGAGTACTGGTTTCATTTCTTCAATCTGAAGTCTGGAGAAATGGAAATCAGTTCCCCATAGCAGAGATATCAGCAGTTATTGTTGAGCTCATCATCCTTTGCTTTCTGGTTTTGTGCCAGAAACCAGTGTGAGGCCAACTCAGCCAAATCTCTTTCCAGGGTCTTGGAAGAGCCTTTACTTAGTTGCAGAGATTCCCTGGAGTGGTCAGCCTGAAGTGAAGAAGCCTGTGTCACGAACAGCACAGGCAGTATTGGCCTCTGCCAGGGAAATCACCTCCCTGGAGGTAAACTCCATCCCTTCCTCCCTCCCAGAGGGAGATTGGGAATGATGCCCTCCAGCCTGTGTGCATTCTTCATTCAAGCTGGGAACAAGGGGTTGCCTGTGGTCAGTTGTATCTTTGTATTATCTCTTCCTCCACCACACCAAGCCATGCTGTTGGTGTTTTAGTTTTTTAGGACAATGCAGCCTCTAAGTGAAGCCTGTTGGGAGAGTTTTATTCTACCTTAGAAGTGATATTCCTTATTCTTTGTCAGCTCACAGATGATTTTTAATGTCATTACYTTTGGTTGTATGATAGCAGGATAATTTCTCGTCTGGAAGTTAAACGAAAAGGACCTTCCCTTAACATAATGGGAGTTTTTTATTGTCTGATGTATTTCAGAGCTGTAAACTTTAAGGATGATGTGACCCTTTAGGACYTGGGCAATTTCAGCTACAGTTAGCTATCATTACTCAGCTGACAAGCAGCAGCGTGATGACAAAGACAGATGTATTTTTCTCCCTCTTTTTTTCTTATATCTGCTAGTTTGTCTTTCATGTTAAAACTCCCTCAAAGGTATAGACTTTACACTCAAGTTTTCCTTAAATACCATCTGTTTATTTTACACAAACCTGTATTTCCTTACTAGAGATGGATGAAAAATGAAATGCATGGGGAAGCTAGTTCATGTTTCCATCTGGCATGGAAGGAATCCTTATCCTGACAGAAGGCACATCAGGTGCCAGGGCTGAAGGGTCCAGGTGTAACACTGAATCCTCATCAAGGGGAGGCTGCTTTCTGATGCATCTCCCAAAGAAAGACTGAAGGGTGGATGGGCACCTGTCCTTTGGATTCAGGTTTTGTTTTTTGTGCCATAGCTTGTAAACATCCACAGCTATATGTGAACTGAAAATTTCATTTTATTCTCTTCAATTTTGCATGATTAAGCTAACCGAGTGTGTTGGGCACAGTCCTGGTGACCTGTTGTAGTTGTTCCAGCTTGAGCAAGAGCTTGGACTGCTGTGATACCAAGAGGTGTCTTTCAGTCTAAAGAGTTCTCCATTTATGTGCTATGAATGAAGCCATGATCCAGGTGGACTTTTGACTTGGAAGTTTTCGAATTTTCTGCTACAGCAGTACCACTGTTCCAAATTCCTGAACAAAATAGGGCTATATTGCCTCAGAAAAAAAGAAAATCTATGGCTAATACATGACAGAGACTGTGCAAGGGAAGCTGGAGGCCTGAACACAGTGCTGCTGTGTTTAGTGAAAGGTTTTAGAATGTTCAGGGAAGGGTTACTGTTAAAACCTGGGAAATGTCAAGGGAGAGAGTATTTACCTCCAACTGGTCAAAGCATTAGTCTTTGATTCCATACATCTATAGTTTTTGGAAAGTCTTGTTATCCAGACAGACAGAGAATCCTTTTTCTTGATCGCCCATTAATCTTTGCCTGTGTMGGGTATTTTGGCAAAATGTTTCAGGTAGAAAATTTCTGACTCTGCAAGATTAATGGTTAGCCTGCTATGAATGATGGTTCTCTGTTGGGGAACATGAAAGCTAGAGTCTCTTGTTTGAAAGATTTTTCTTGCACTTGCTCTGAAGAAAGCCTCTAGCAAAGTGTTTAAGACAACTCACGAGGGAGTTGGCCTTTGGTTGCTTGAGGGACCGGGGAGGGCTTAGTCAAGGAGAGTTATCCATCTGAGACCAAGGACTGGCACTTGTGCAAGGARGAGTGCAGTGTTTTGGAATATTCTGGAAGCCCAGGACTGGTAGACACAGACATCTTCAAATGTCAGTCATTGACTCAAATCCAACTCCTATCTTAAGCATCTCAAGCCATGATATTGTGCAGTAGCTGTTTGACCTGCGTGTGCTAGATGTTATTGMCTCTCTTTTGGAAGCAGTGCCATGCCATGATTGACATTTGCATCGTACAAAAACTGAAGCTGCTGAGTTTCCCACGCAGAGCTGCTAAACCTCACTGAAAACTCTTCCATGTCCAAATGAAAGGTTTTTATGTGGGAATGAACCACAGARTAAGTTCAGTACCTCTCGAGTTAGAATGGGAGCCTTAGCTTTTGTAACAGAGACAGGACCTCTGTCTGTCTGTGCAGCAGCTAGCACAATGGCACCTCAGTGTCAGCTGTCCCCTCTGTGAACTACCATGGTACAAACAAGGTATTATACCTGCTCTGGGGACAACTAGAAGTCTCTGTGTTTGGCAGTGTTCCTCAGTGCCAGCTGCCTTTATTAAACCATGCATGTGTGTGAACACATACAAGAAAATTGTAGTTGTTGTGGGAAAAACAATGTTCTGTGTTTAGTTCAGGAATATCTGCACAGTGAGGATAAATCTGAAATCTGACTTGCATGATCTGTCRTTTGATAGTTGAGAAAGTAGTTTAAAGACTAGCAGGGAAGGAAAATATTTTTTTGATTGCTCAAAGGGCAGTATAAATACAGAAGGGCAAAAGGTAGCTTTAAAGAAGGYAGCAAAAAAAAGGTGTCGGCATGCTTTTGGGGGGTCCAAAACCTCCCAAACACAGTCCTGGAGGGTGGTCACAAAATAAATGGGTTGATTTAATASCTGTCAAATTCAGTATCAATCAGAATTTCTCCACTATATCAATGAGCAGTGTCTTGTGTCTCTGGGTGGCTGAAACACTACAAAGAYATCTCCCCAGGGTGGTGGAGGTAAAATGGGTCCAAATCAGTGTAATGGTTGCATGCTTGCCTCATCTTGCCTAAAAGTCAAGTACAACTGAAATGGAAATAGAGCATGTAACCTTTAGAAATGTATTGCCATTGGATTGTGCTGTGAGCAAGTAGCATAAGGCATCCAAGAATGATGGCAATGTCTGTTATTCTGAATAAAAAGGTGTAAGGAATAGTGAAGTTCATCTTGCAGTGATCATGTTATTCCAGAACTGTTTCTTATAAAGGTTTCTTTTAACGATTGTGTTTTCCTTTGACTGATTTGGTTTTGGCTGTTGCCAGAGACACATACTAAGCTGCGTAGCTCAGAGGTTTGATCTAATAACTTACAGGTAGGCTCTATGCAGCTGAACAAAAGTCACTTTAGGAACAAGGTAGGTAGAGTTTTCCTRTGTAGGAAACAGTGTGATCTATCTGACTTATAAAACTTTGGTTTCAGATCTCTCAGCCCCTTGAGAGGCAGCTACTGGGTTTGTTCAGAGTAAGACATGTTTTGAGTGAGTAAGAGGTTTGAAATCCATTGGCTGACACAGAGCAAATGTTCCTGAAAAGTCCTGATATCGACAAAATATGTGAATTGTCATTACTCTTGGAGCATTTAAGGGTGTTCAGTGGTCCTGTAAATTATCTCCTGGAGGGAACAGCATCATGGTATTGTCTGTGTTTCTATGAAATCATGTTTCTTTTATTTCTATTAATAATTCAGGGTTCTCCTGCAGGGAAGTGAGGTGGGTCTGTTGTGTGGTGGCTTGTGTGTGAGCTTCAAAGGGGAAGTGTGGGTACATACACAGGATGGCTAAAGTTAACGWGCCACTTCCATTTGTGGGCAACTTGCAAGATGACAGTGCTGTTGACAGGATGTGTCTTTATCTTGGCAGTGGAGATTTTGGAGATTCAGTTATCCACGTGATGGGGATGTGGTAGGCCATGATGGTTATAAGTTACATGTCTGGAAAGTGAAAGGCAGGATATGTTCTGTGCTTGGGAGAGAGTTGGCAGGGCAGGATGGTGGAAACAGCAGTAGGCCATGTGTTCTGTGTTGCTGAAAGTAAGAGGATGCAGTGGGAGACTGGAGTTGGGAGATGAGGATGTGTATCCAGGGAGGTGCTAATGCTGGGTGTGTGCGGTTAGGTGGTGTGGATGCCTGCAGGATATGAGAGTGGGAGGGTGGGGRAAGTGGCTTGAGCAGCAGCAAGGCAACGTGCAGTATTCATGATGAAGCCTTTTCTTTCTTCTTGTCCCCTAGATCTCCTATCCCCCAAGTGATGAGGACAGCGATGACTCTGAGGGAGAGAACCAGGAACTTGCTCAGATCGACAGAGGTAAAGGGATGAAGATGCAGGATCCTGGGATACTACGGTTGAAGTCAGTTTTTCTTTTCACTTGTGCTCTTGCAAGTGCCGCCTTCTCCATCCCTAATGTACCACAATCAGATGCATTAAATCAGTCACCTTGAAGCCTTTGTGATCTCTCAAGGAGAGACTGGTGCTATCAAATGCTGCAGTTGMATTTTTACCACACATTGTTAACCATGTGTTAAAGTCCCAGTGCTGCAGACATGGGGCAGAGATGGTCCACCATTGTGCCAGCAGCAGAGCTGGGACTAAAATTTATCTTCCATTCCATGCTTTTGCACTTGTGTTGTCTTTGTCCTAGGTTTCCTCATCCTTGCTATTGTGAGTTTTAGCCTTCAGTTTCTTCATTCCCCTGGACTCATTTGATTCTCTCTCTGCCTTCCTCCTACACTGTTGGTGTTGTGCTGTCCTATTCTTGCATCTAGTGAGGGTCTTTGATAGAGAAGACACAGGTTCTCTGCTATTGTTTTTGGATTGGTATGAAGTACCTTAGAGCTGCAGGTGAAATTTGTAGTAAATGCATCTCTTGAATTGTGCTWAGTCTGCCATTAATGCATGCCCTGKGCCCAGGCAGAGGCAGCAGAAGTTACAATTCCTGACCCACAGGACAATTCCTGTCAGAATTCAAATCCCTGCTTAGCTCAGAAAGAGCTCAGCAGAAGAGAGAAAGCATGCCTAGCTCTCTTGTCTTGTCATAGAGGATTTTTTATTTCCAGAAACCCGATCTCATTTATTTGAGCCATAAATATAGAATTACATAACTTACTTTCCTCTTCTGCCCAGAGAACTGRGTATTAGAAGTTAACATTTTCAGCTAGAGGCCTGTGCCTAGCAACACATTTGTAAGCTCATGTCTTCTCCACCTTGAGGTCAGGTGGGTGACAGGTCCGTGTTTTTTCTCTGGAACTAGACTTCCAGGTGATGGTTTGAAATTCTGAACAAAGGTATGTAAATATCCAAAGGGAAGCATTCAGCTGGAGGACATTTCATCTGAGGGAGAGAAGGTGGGGAAACAGCTCAGAAGTTAATTGGGGTGAGATGAAAACAATGGGTCAGGAGAAAACAGGCCAAATTTATTGGGCCGTGGGACACAGATCTGCTCTGCCATCCTCTATCTGCTCCTCCCACCAGAGAGAAGACGGAATTGTACCCTGACTCCTCTGGCCACCAACCAGCTCCAGAACCAGGAGAACCAGTGCTGCAAGGTTCGGGCCCTCTTCCATGCCAGCCTCGACCGCCACAGCTCGGAAGAGGAGCTGGAGCGCATCAACCGAGAGTTTGCGGCAGAGAAGCGGAAGTGGTCGCAGGTCAGCCGGCTGGCTTGCTGCAGCGACGGCAACAACACCTCCTCCAGCGACGAAGAAGTGAAAAACTTGTGCGCCATGTCGTTCCGGCCCGTGGCGGAGCAGGACGATGGCCTGCAGGCCAGCCCCAGCCCCGTGCTGTTCAGTGCCTCCCCTCCCAAGAGACTCCAGCCCCTGGTGCGGAGCCCGGCCTCCAGACCTTTAATCCTCACCAGCGTTGGGCCGGGCCTTGAGCAAGTCATGCCTTGTAAGAGACATCGACAGGGATACGGGGATAAGGTCAGCAGGCCCAGCCTTGACCTGGAAAAAATGCAGCAGGTAAGGCAGAACTTGACGTGAGGAAAGCAGCACCGCTTGGAGAAAAGGCGTGGTGAGCAAGGCAGAAAAGGGTTATTGAGGCAAGGCTCAGTGAATTTAGAGGGTTGCTTCTGGTGGTCGTGTTTTCAGGGGCATACCTTCAGGGTGCTTCTGCTGTCTGTGTAGGATGAAGCACGCTAAGTGTAGATACCTCTCTCAAGAGGTAAAGATGCTGCTTCTTGAGTGGCTCCTGCTGGGCTGTTCTCTTGCTACCCCATGAGGAAGGCAGCACTTGTACTGTCCAGTTCATGGCACCCACAGTAACAAAATCACTGGAGCTTGCTTTCATCGAGTTACCACTGYTTCCATGGGCTGACCTGTACCTCTTACTCCAAAATAAACTAATTGCATAGGGATGTACAAAAAAAGCCTTTGGTGAAAGTGGCCRTAGACTTGATGATGATAGGTATTTCCACACTTGTTGACCTCCTTGGGCCCAGATCTCTTTATGCCTTTACAGTAATGGAAAGCAGTGCTTTTTACCTTCTTAACACTTTACAAATACAGACTGTTTTTAGTTTGCTCTAGCTGCAGTTGCTCTTAATTTTGCAGGACTTGAGYTGGGCCTGGGACTGAGGTGTGGAAATGCTAGAAGTTTGCCTTGTATCTGCAGAGCCTGGGAAACGAGGCAGGCTGCCCTGTGTAGTTCCCATCTGGCACCTCTCTTTCAAAAGGCCTTGCTGTAGAGTTAGTATTTCAGCTCTCTTCATTATTTGTTTTTCATTTTGCACTGGTGTAGTGTCAGTTTGAAAGGATATCTGCAGACATCTGCTGGCCCTGRTACATTGCAGTAAGCGAAAAACAATTATTTTCAGTTCAGAATTTCTTCTCATTAGGGAAGAATTTCWCTGCCTCTGGTTGGATGGATGTACTAATTTTAACCTTGCTTACAACAGTCTCTTTAAGCCTACAAGATGGACCCACTAAAAGAAAGGACTATGTATTTATTTTCTAAGATCTCTAAAAGTGAGACCTTTCCATTTCCCTATTACATTGCTGGTTTTTTTCAGTCCTGCTGGCAGCATACATCCCATGAATACATAATGCAGAGACTTGTGTTTTCAGTAGTTTTCCTCACCCCCTTTTCAACCTTCTAGCCAAGTTTCTGCTCACAGAACATTCAAAAGGCCCAGTCTTGCATTTCACATCACCCAAATCTTCTACTGATAGTGACAGACTTTAATTAGTCTCACGTCCTTATGAGAGGAGAAGAAAGCTGGTAAGCCTGTGCYCAGCCTTCTATTTTGTCAGAGTGCATGTGAGTAAATGGGGAAATGTTTCTTTTGGCCCAGGTGATTTCTCTGATTTGTCTCCCAGGCATAGCATCTGCCTGCTTTAAGCTCCTTTCGGCACTGTGGGAGTATATTGGTAAAGGTTAGGGGCTAGTTTAAATATGGTTTCCAAACTGTTGGTTTTTTTTTTTTTTTTCTGAGGAAACATTGTAAAAAATAATTGGCTTCCTTGTCCATTTGCACTTGACACTTCTGGATTAATTGTAGCAGAGATTTTTGCATAAGAAGTTGAAATCTGAAGTGAAGGTGGCAGTGTGTTTTTTAAATAACATTTTTACTGTAGGTATAATTAACATTTCAGTTTGTGGAATCCATGTTATAAAGACAGTCAGCTGGTGGATTTAATTTGAAATAAAGTGTACCAAGAGCACAACATGACATGACACACAGGCAAAGTGAGATGCAGCCTGAATATTGTATTTGGTCATTTGTATTATTTTTATAATTCTGATTGGTTAACTTTCAGGCAGTGATTCTTGAAGCTATATGGTGAGTCTTTGCTTGCTACCCGTACTTATTTCTCTATGAAAATCATTCAGGACTTCCATTCCCCACTTATAAAATGGGACCATGGTGTTTGTTTTTTGGTCTGTTTCCATTTTMCAACAAAAATATCTCTTACTAACTGCCTGGGCAGTGTGTGGCATGTGTTTTAGTCAGGTAAACAATGTATGTGAGGAATGTTAATATTAAATAGGCTACTCTTAAGGCTTCATCTGGGCTCTGAACATCAAGCTATTCTTTCTTTGCGATTCTTATYCTTGCTGTCATGTGCTTGCCTGTGAGAATGAAGCTGAAAAGTTTATCAGATAGACTTTTTTTTGAGCAGCAGATGTCGCTTTCACTCTTATCCCTGAGCCTTACTTTCCATTCCTGCAGCTCTSTGCAGCTGACAGATGACAAAGAGTATCAAGAAAGATGAATTTGTGCCTGAAGCAAATGTGTTATGAGATAAGAAGACACTTTGGGGGTGTGGTGTGGTATGGGTAACTYAAGGGTGGATGAAGAGATGCCAAGTGCTTTAAATCAAATTCTGTTTATGTTGGAGGGTGATGGAATATTGGTCCAGACAGTTACAGTGTAGAGTGGTTCTGTATTGGGATGTTTAAGCAGCTTTTGCAGGAAGCCTGTGGGTCAGTGACATGTGGTGTCCAAATGTCTCCCTGTATTCCAGTGATTTGGTGCCTTATGGTAAGAAAGAGGAGCAAATTTGGAGGCAAGTGGCTTGGAGGTAATGTGAAGGTTTTAAGGGACTAGACAATTGCTGTCCTTTCAWAACCGGTGAATAAATGGAAATCTCYGTCATCTGTGCCTTTCAGTTCAGCCTCCTGGAGCAGAGAAGGCTGTACCAGGAGCAGGTTTAAAAGGTCCTTTTTGATTAGATGCCAGGCTAGGCCTTTGCAGCTTCACAGGGTACAGTAATTYAGCCCTTTAGTGGCCCAGACATGAGTTTGGACTGTTGGCACATGTATTTCCCACCCTGGCYGGTCAGCTGGCCACCCAGTGTCTCCTCTTTGAGGCAGAGTGAGAATATTTCAATGCACGCTTTTCTTCACTTCTCCAAAGGATTAGAAAATTAGCTCAGAAGGCTTCTATTCTTTCCCTTAATTGGGCAGAAATAGCCTGGCTTGTGCAGACACCCACATTACTGCAGTGAATGCCCTCTCCCAGCACCCCTTGATCACAGCCCTTGGACAGACACGTCCTTGYGTGCAGGCCCTGCTGCCAACCCCTTGCTATTTAATGAAGCCTGCTGCCATCCTGCATGGCTGCTGCCATTTCAGCATATCTGGCTTTTTTGGCAATGCTGAGAGCACAAATTCAAGGAGAGCAGGGACATCTTTTGGTTTGAGGTAAAKGCACTAGGTTCATCTGAGGTATGAGGGAGTCCAGGGTGTCACAAAGACTTCTTGGAGCTCATTCCCAGGGGACTAATTGGTCTTGGCATGTTGTGTAAACAGAGAGGAAGTAAAGGATCCTCCTGTAGTAGGCTTTTCAGTAGGACTGCCAGAAACACCTTTGAAATCTACTTAGAGAAGCTTGGGAAGTCAGTGTAGCATTTGCAGGGATAGAGATCTCTTGGAGGAGAGCAGCTCTGGGATGGTACAACAAACAGCCCAAATTGCCTTTGTGTGGGTAGGTGGCCGATATGGGAAGCATAGTTTTAAAGTACAAGGCAGAGTATGGGTACATGGGTATATTTCCAGTTATGCTGTGAAGTTTCGAGATGGGTTTCACAACTTGCTCAGAGCTTTCTGCTGTGGTTTGCCTGGTTGTATGAATAGACAGAATCAGACATTTGTAAAATACCCTTCTAATAGAGTTAGAAAGGACCCACAAGTCCAACRCCTGGCCCTGCACAGGACACCCCAAGAATCACATCATATGCCTGAGAGTGTTGTCCAAACGCTTTTTGAACTCTGGCAGTGTTGGTGCCATGACCACTAAAGTGGAGGGGCTGTTCAGAGCCCAACCCCCTCTGAGTGAAGAACCTTTACCTAACATCCAGCCCAAACCTCTCCTAACCCAGCTTCAGGCCATTACCTCAGTTCCTGTCACTCGTCACCATAGAGAAGAGACCAGTGCCTGCCCCTCTGCTTCCCCTCATAGGGAAGTTCTAGACTGTGATGAGGTCTCCTTTCACTCTTCTCCAGGCTGAACAAACCAAGTGATCTCAGCTGCTTTTTATTTGGCTTCCTGCAGAGAAAGTACCGTTTTCTTTTGGAGGCTTAGTGCATTATTTGAAATGGATTGAGATGCTAGGATGAAAAATGTCATCAGAGAGGAGAAGAATGCATCCTCCGCTAATGTTTGGATTGTTTGCAGGCTCTGCACCCCTTTGGTGGGTGACTAGTTTCAGTGTGGGATAGATGAGTGGAACTTCATCTTGACTTGACACTGCAAGTGGTCTGGGTATAGTGCCTGATGGGAGTCCTGAGCTGTGTTCAGCTGTGTAATATCAAGACCATCTTCCTTCTGCTGTATGTTTGAATACTGGTTGGACTGGGAATTGGTGGCATGATCAGCACTAAAAACTTTCTTTGGGTCAGTACTGGTTGCATAGAGGCTGCAGAACAGCACTTGCCACACGTGACCAAGGACCAGTGCATGACCCTTGGTGTGCTGGGGTCTGAGCTTTGAGGTGCTAATGGCTCCAGGGTGAGATTTCCATATCCTTAGCACAGCTGGGTTTTGCCCTTGCCTGTCTCTCCAGGACTTGACAAATAGCCTCCAGATAGCTTCCACGTGTGAGCTCCTGAGTCCTTTTCACCTCTTGGCCTCCCATTTGAATCCAGGCCTTTTCAGTTCCTGAGAATTGTAACCATCTGTTTGCCCATCTGAGCTTCTCTGTGGGGAGAGGGTGCCAGAAAATCTACTGCTGGCGCTGGTGGTATTTTCATTCCAGTCTTTGCCCTGGGCCTCAATCTCCAGAGTGACTGAGTGGAGTTCAGGGGCCTGTGCTGAGCCTAATGGCTTACACCATTTCTTAAGGGGCTCAGTATCAGAACTTGTCTCTCAGCTGTGGGAAGCTGGGCCACAGCAGTTCTTTATCCCTGGGCTTGTTGAAACAACATAATGAAGRAAGTGTTGCAGAAACGGATTGCATCAGTACAGAATGAGAAATTCTGCTTCTGGTAACCTCCTGCAATTTTGCTTTAATTTTTCACC